GGAGGGGAGGGTGCACCCCTGTCAGGGTCGGCCGGGGCCGGTGGCGGGCAGAGCGGAGAAGGTGCACCCTGTCGGGTCCCCCGGAGTCGGTGGCCCTGTCGGAGGGGAGGGTGCACCCCTGTCAGGATCCGCCGGGGCCGGTGGCCGGCTGGGTGGGGTGGGTGCACTTCTTGTGGGTGGGGGCCTGAGACAGGGGCCCAGGTGGGGTTGGGATTGGGGTGGTGGGACCACGGGCCAGGGAGAGGACACCACTGGGTGGATCTGGATCAGGTGAGGTCGGGTCTCCCAAGCCATCAGTGCTGGTGAAGCTTTCCCAGAGTCCCCTGCCTGCTCCAAGCCAGCTCAGAGAGGCTTTCCCCGGCCTCGAAGTCAGTTCACACATACACACCTGGCATTTCCACTCTGCTGGACAGGCTTGGAGGCCCTGACCTGTGGCAGCAGTGTGAACTGGCTTAACAAGCATGCATGTCTCTGTATGCCAGGGTTTGCTGAGCTCTGTGGAGCAAAGGCTGTGGTGTTGCTTCAATGCCTCTGCTGGTAAAGCAATGGTGAAGCCAAGACTTGGGGGCAGGCTGGCTCCTAGGTCTTTACTGTGGTGGGGGCCCAGGAATAGTTGGAACTACCTGTGCTCTGTTGTAGGGCTGAGGATATTAGCCCTGACTGACAGGTGCCAGGCATGATTCCATGACCTTGGACTAACCCCTCTTATTTGTGAGAAAGACAAATTCATACACCAGAAAGTACAATTCATGAGAGCAAGTGTGTGGCCCTTCTTTGCTGCAGGAGACTCAGTTCTCATCCAGTGGAGCAATGAGTCCTGGGGTGGGCCCTGGGCAAGCCCTCAAAGAGACAGACGCATGGCCTTTTGGAAAGGATACTGTACAGAAGCAGCTCCAGGAGAACTGAGCTGGGCCTTGTTGGAGAGCACATCTGATCAGGGAGTGAAGGGAGCCTGGCAGGGGAGTGACTGGACCTTTCATGGTATGTGCCACCACCCACATAGGGACCTGTGAGGTCTATCTCCAGCTTGCAAGTGGGGGAGTGGCAGCTGAGAGATAACCTTTGAAATTGGTGGGAAGAGGGGTTGGGGTGGGGGAGTGGCCCTGCTTCTGGATTGTGTTAGTATCTTCCCTGGGTGTGGATAGCTTCAGTAGGGGGTTGGCCCACAAGCCCTGCTTTGAGAATGGTATGACCATGGAGCTACCTGGAGGAAGAGATGTGTGGGGTTGCCACAGGTCATTAGAGGTATGGCCCCAGAGCCAGTGCCACATGGACTTCTTCAGTCTCCAGAGCCCTTTAGACATCAGGCCTCTCCATCCGTTCCTGTGTGCCCCTGGCCAGGAGGGAGGCACTATCCTCTCACTACACTGCTGGTGATGGCCAGAGCCACAGAGTCTTAGAGGAGATGGGGGCGTGTTCTCCTTGTTTCATACTCATATGTTAATTTGGCCAATCATATAGCACATATTTTGGGGATCCCTGCTGGGTGCCGTTACTGTGGTAGGGAAGAGGGCAGAGGACTCTACAAGAGCTTAGCTTCTGTCACTGTCCTGGAACTTGAGAAGGCATGAAGGTGCTGGCCAGAGGAATACTGAGTGTGCAGGATCAGCAGAAGCCTGAGCATTCTCCTCTCCCAGTGCCATGGCAGCTGTAGCAACTCCAAGAAAGGCAGGTGCTAGGTTCTTTGGAAGTGCAGACTAGAGGCACCAGGGGTGTTTGGGGTGCAAGTGCCTGGCGGAAGCAGAGCTTGCCTGTGAGAAGGCTGGGGATCAGAAGGCTTTACAGAGGAGATGCAGGGCTGGCTGGCTGGCTTCAGATACCACCTGCATGAGTGTCCTGGGTGGTGTTCTGCTTCCCCCCGACCCTGTGTGTGCTCATAGGAGCATGTTCTTAGTAAACCTTGGAGTGGGGGGTGGGGGAACTTCATGTTTCCCTATGAAGGTGACAGGTGCCTGGTAGAGGATTATTGATGCTGCCTGCAGGGTCATGCCATAAGCTCCTTCTGGGTCTTCCTCACTGATGCTGTGCTAGGGTTGTCAAAACTCTATTGTGTTTTGTACTGGGGATTAAACCCAGGGTGCTTTACCACTGAGCTACATCCTCAGTCCTTTCTCGTTTTTATTTTGAGACAAGTCTCACTAAGTTGCTAAGGGTCTTGCTAAGTTGCCCAGGCAGGCATTGAACTTCATATCATCCTGCCTCAGCCTCCCAGGTCTCTAGGATTATAGATATAGGCTACTGCACCTGGCTGACTTTATCTTTTAAAGAAGTTTTATTTCTTTTTGCAATGCTGGAATTGAACCAAGGCCTCTCCATGCTAGGCAAGCGTTATGTCTGAGCTATTCTCCCAGCCTATGTTTTAGAATTTTAATAATGAATGCTACAAAAAGCTAATATAGATAAAGTTTAATCTTAAAAAGTGGAATGACTTTAGGTTCCAAAACTCCCAAAAGGAACTTCTTATTTTCAGGGTTTTTCATTTTGAAAGTCAGCTGGGCTTCTCTGGGGCCAGTGATGGCTGCCATGTGCAAAGGTTTGGGTCTTGGTGACTACTTGGCAACCACAGAGCCTGCAGTTTGTGTCCAAGGTGTCAAGGGCACTGCCTCCTATCCCATTCATTATTCTCTCTGAAAGGGAACTTCTAAGGGAACATTGAGAGCTGCAGGCTCACTGTGAAGAGGGGTCAATTTGTGTCTAAAAATTGGAAGGGTTGCAGACCACCACCTGGAGCAGCTCCTGTGCGCTCTGTCACTTTCACTGATGGTAAAGCCCTAGGAGGAGTTCCACCCCTCCTGGCCACCTCCCACCAGGGAGGATGTCTGATTTTTTGAAAATGTTTACTGGATGCATGTGTCTCAGAACTTGGAGCCTCCAGTGGACCTTCTCAGTCATTGAGATCAACACATCTTAAGTAGTCTTTAAACCTTTAGCCTCAGGAACATGTGGCTGATCTTAGATGCTTCTCAGTCATGCTGGATAGAGCTTTCCCAGCGTCGCCCAGTCTGGGAAGCATGACTGGCCAGTTGATGCCTTTATAGTCTTGCCTGCCAACAGGCCAGGAGGGCAGTGTCACAGCCTGGGAGCCTAGTGGAGGCCTGGGTGGCCCCGGCCCTTTCTTGATGATGCCTCAGTGTTCTCCTGATTGGTCTTGGCAAGCCTGCCTTCCTAGCCACTCACAAAACAAGCATGCTGAATGGCAGCTGGGCATTTTCCACTCATGGCAGAGAGCCAGCTACCCCTGCGCCCTCCCCTTGGGGGTTGACTGAAATCCCAGGATTTATGGCAGCTCTTGTCTTGTGCCTGATCACAGGATCCAGAGCTTCCTGTTTGCCCTGGCACTGTACTGGGAAGGTGGTGGGAGGTACCACTGAGCACACCTGTCATCCTGGGAGGGCAAGGAGGTCTGCCTCTGGAGTCTGTTACCTCCAGACCCCACAATGCGTGGAGGCACACATTCTGTGTGCAAGACAGGGAGCAAAAAGGTGGGTCTTGTATTTATCACGAAGAGTTAAAGTCAGCAGTCATACATGAGTACACATGTTTACAGCAGCACAATTCACAATAGCCAAACTATGAAACCAGCCTGGGTGTCCATCAACAGATGAATGGATAAGGAAATGAGGTATATATACACAGTGGAGTTTTATTCAGCTGTAAAGAAGAATCAAGTTATGGCATTTGCAGGAAAATGGATGGAACCGAAAACATTGTATTAGGAGAAATAAGTCAAACTCAGAGGGTCAGAAGGTCAAGGTCCAGTGTTTTCTCTTGTATGCAGAAGCTAGAGAGGAGAAAAATAAGGGTGGGGAAGATCTCATGAAAAGGGAGATGGGTAGAGGAAAGGGACTGGGAGGGAGACTGAGAGGGAAGGGGAAAGTGCTGGGTAGTGACATTGGCCAGTTATATTGTTAAATTGTGTGCACATGTGGCTATGTAACAACAGTCCCTTATGGTGTACAGCTATAGTGCACCAGTTAACAACATGGGGGAAAAGAAGGGTCTCGCTCTCCAGCAGCACTGGTGTCAGCAGTTCTGAAGTCTGTCCTGCTGCAAGCCTGTGGGCTGATGTCCCTCCTCAGGGTTCCTGACCCTCCTTCCTGCCTTGGACAGGACAGTGATGGGTCTTTCTTGTTCCTGCTCCTTTTTTCCTGAGGCCAGGAAGGGAGGACAAGCACTCAGTGACTGCTTGAAAGACAGTGTGGCCACCTACCTCAATGGGCAGAGTCAGATTTTCCAGGTGATCTTTATGTCTTCAGGAGAATGGAAAGATAGTGTTCTCTGAGGAGGCTGGTAAACAGTCAGGTTGCCCTGGGCTGACCACTCCCTAAAAGACCACAGGGAGATCATTAGGTTAGTGGAAAGTCATGGTAAAGAAGCCAAAGGCTGAAGTCACTTTTAAGACCTGGGGAAATGACTTCTGGGTTTTAATTTTACTTGTGAAGTAATGCCCCCATGTTTCTGTACATTCCAGCACTCAGCAGATGTGGGGCTAGTGTGCAGAGTGCTCTGCTGCCAGCCAGAGATGCCCATTTGGCTGGTGGTGAAGGCCAAGCCCTCCCATGCAAGAGGCTGGGTGCGTACTGCAGGCCATGCCCTGACACTGCCTGTGTTTGGATTTCAGGCGAGCCCACACCTTAACTGTGCTGTTCATCCTCACCTGTGCGCTGGGCTACGTGACTCTCCTGGAGGAAACGCCTCAGGACACAGCCTACAACACCAAGAGGTAGATGTTGGCATGGAGGGCGTGGGTCCTGGCTGTCCTGGGCTGGGCTCCCCACCTTCCCTCAGGTGTGTCTGTATCCCCCGCTCCACAGCCGCTCTTAAACCTCTGTGGCGTTTCTTGCCCTGGAACTGGCCACCAGTTTCCCAGAATTCATGTCACCTCGTAAGTCACTTGCAGCTTGTGTTACCACAGCCTCCAGGGTGGGCTGCCGAGTCTGTGGCTGCCCCCTAGCTGGCACAGTTCTCCGGTGGTGTTGAAACTAACACTTTTTAAATATTTAAATGACTTTGACATACCAGGTGGATGCCCAGTGGCCACCTGTGACCTCATTTCTCAGGATTCTCCCAGGCAGACTGGTCACAAGGCTTTGCTTGCAGCCAGCACCTGCACTCCGAGACTGACCTAGTCTCAGCGAGTGGGGTGAGCTGGCCTCAGAGCAGTCCTTAGTCCTCACTCTCTGCACTAGGTGTACTCGGCTCTTGCTCCTGGGAGCCTCAGGCTGGTGCAAAGCTGCTGTTCCCTTTGAGGCCCAAGCCCCACTTGTGCAGTAGGACAGCCCCAGGAAGCCAGATGGGCCTGATGGGGACAGAAGCAAAGGGAGGTGCTCACGACCATTTGAGCTGGGGCCATGAGTCAGCCCTGGTTGTGGGCCTTGGGCTTGTGGGGTCTCATGGTCACAGTTCTTGGTAGTGCTTTGTTGCTTTTGAAACTTGTTGGTGTTAGTATCTGCCGTGAGAATTAGGTAGACAGATGGTATGTATAGTATGCCCCCATAGATGTTGCCAGGCCCTGCTAGGTGACCATATCCATGCCACGTTGCTCACCATGAGTGTGGGAAGCTATGGTACACCTGGGTGCTCAGCCTGTCTGTCCAGGACACTGGAGCTACCCACCGTAGACCTCATAATGGTGCTCATGTCCTTGGGTGCAGCCAGGCACTCTGGTGAGAAGTTGCTGTCCAGCTGCTGGGCCTGGGAGGAGCCAGCCCCCAAGACCCCTAGCCTTCACTGCACAGGCAGGTCTCTCCCTGCCTGGCATCCTGCCCACTCCTGCCTCACGCTCTGGGTTTTCCTCCCAGTCCGCTTGGCTAACTCTTCTTCTGTTCTCCAAGCCTTAGGTGTCAGCTTGCTCCCAGGCCCTTTGCTCTCTGGCCCTTTGTGTGCCTTGTTGGTGCCTCTCCTCATCTGCAGGACCACCTGGGCCTCAGGCAGCCCCCTGCCTCAGTTGCAGGTAGAGCCTGCAAGCTTGTGTTTCCTGGGAAGTTGGAGATGGCAGGAGAGAGCGAGCCCAGGAGCCTCTGGGCTGGGCCTTGGTTCTGCACTGGTGCCTGTAAAGGGGCTGCCTGTGGGGCTGTGAGGCTGTCTGTCGGCAGCAGCCTGCATCTGCCCAGAGGGAATCTCCAAGTGGAACTGGGTCTTTTCTGTGGGTTCATCTGACAGTGCCTGGGCACTGCGGGGGCGGGGGTCTGTGGTGTCTGTTGGACACATGGGAAGAGAGCCTCAGGAAGCAGGACTTGGCCAAACCTTGGGAAGTGTTCCCTGGGGCAGTAGGGGAGGAAGGCCTCTGGTTCACTCTGCAGCACTGAAAAAACAGAAGGGGTTCCTCTGTATGGGAAGTAAAATTAACCAGAGATGAGTCGTCCTGTTGTCACTGGGCAAGAATTGTCACAGGGAGGAGTGAGCCCCTGCCCATGAAGAGTAGGCCTGTGTCACCAGACACCTGTCAGGTGAGTCACAGAGCTGCACTGCCCCCAGGCTCTGCCCACCAATTCCTGGTTCCTGCTGTGAACAGCCCAGACCCAGAGAGACCCAGAGCTCAGGCCTACAGGGGCCTCTTCACCCAGCACTTGCCCCCTCCTAGGGGGGCCCCGCGTAGCTTACTGAGAGAGAGGGCAGGGTATGTGAATCCCAGGGACTCCTGAGCACTTTTTCTCTCAAGTTCTGTATGGGGGAACACTCTGTCCCCTCGTCCTTCTGAGGCACCAAGGAACTGTCCCTCATGGCCCATAATTTGGCTGGTGTGGCCTGGACCTGCTCTTGGCTTCTGCCTGGATACCCAGGCACCCCGTCTGCCTTTGCTGCCCATGGCTCTGCAGCCTCCTCTGGAAGGCTGCAGTGCGTGTGCCTGTCCTGGTCCACTTGCACCCTCTCTGGACTCCCATGCTTCACACCAGGAGCCCCATATCCATCAGACTGGTGCATTCTTGCTGCCTAGGCCCTTTCGGGCCTCTTAGAGGCTACGAGCAAACGCTCGTTTTAATTATATTGGAGTTGTTTTTGTTTTGGGGATCCAGAGTTAAACTCAGGGTCACTTTACCACTGACCCTCGTCCTTAGGCTTTTTGTTGTTGTTGAGACAAGGTCTTGCTGGAATTACAGACATGTGTCACCACACATGGCGCATGAGAATGTTTTTGGTGTCCTTGAAGATAGGTTTCATATTACTTTTACTGTACTGGGGATGGAACCTAGGACTCACATTTTTTTGTTGTTTTTGGTGTTACTGGGGATTGAACCCAGGGGCATTTTACCACTGAATGATATCCCTAGCCTTTTCTTTCTTTTTTGTTTTGAGGCAGGGTCTTGCTAAATTGCCAAGGCTGGCCTTGAACTTGAGGTACCCCTGCCTCTACCTCCTAAGTAGCTGGCCACTGTGCCCAGCTTGTTTTTTGTCCCCCCATGGTCATTTTCTTTTGTGATACCTAGGCATTGAACCTGAGGTCTCACACGTGCTAGTCAGGTGCTCCAACACTAAGCTATACCCCCGACTGTGTTTTTTGTGTTTTGTTTTGTTTTGCTTTGTTGTTGTTTACTAGGAATTGAACTCAGGGCACTTGGCCATTGAGCCACATCCCCAGCCCTATTTTGCATTGTATTTAGAGAAAGGGTCTCACTGAGTTGCTTAGTGCCTCGATTTTGTTGAGGCTGGCTTTGAACGCCGATCCTCCTGCCCCAGCCTCCCCAGCGGCTGGGATTACAGGCATGCGCCATGGCATCTGGCTCCCCACCCTTTTAAATTTGATCTTGAGCCAGGGTTGCACTAAGTTTCCAGGCTGGACTTGAACTTGTGCCCTTCCTGCCTCCATTGTACCTGGTCATGTTGGGTTTTGTTGGTTGGTTTGGGTTTTGGTGTTTTCTGTTTTGTTTTTAAGATGGGATATCACTGTGCTGCCCAGGCTGGTCTCTAGCTCCTGGGCTCATGTCTGCCTCCCTGTGTCTCTGGAGCAACTGGTAGCGTAGTGGTGTATCACTGTGCCCAGTTGTCTCTCTTCTCAAGTCAACTTTACTGTCCTGTAATTAAATGACACAGCCCCGTGAGTGTGGGTCAGTGCCCATTGCTGTGTGGAGATGTGGACACTTCCTCAGCCCAGTGGCCTCTGACCCTGTGGCAGGGCACTGCACTTGGCATAGGCAGCTGGGTTTCTCACTTTGTTCTGGTTTGGTAAAATGGAGTTGCTTCATGTACTCTGTGTCTTCCTGGGGATGATGGCCTGTGACGTTGTATGGCCATATCTGTGGGTTGCTCACTCATGAGCTTCAGCCCATTTATATGTGGGAACCTTGGGAGAGATTCCAGATTTTCTCACCCTCACATTTAATTAATTTTCTACAATTTAATAAGTTAAACTTCTTTATACGTTTTAATTGTACAAAGTACATGTAACTAGCAGATGCATTGAAAGTGTGGATTGCTCTTCACGTGGATGACACAGAGACAGCACTTCACAGTCCTGAAGGGGGGCAGAACCTGAGATTGACATGCTCCTGCACCTCCTGCTCAGCCAGTTGCGGGTCAGGACTGGACAGAGCGGACAGAGCAGGCCCTGGACAGCAGAGGGCTCAGCAGCAGACCCACACAGAGCAGTGCACAGACAGGGTGGTCTTGCACGATTGGCACTGCAGCAGCTGTACATCTGCTGCAGAGAACACCACAGACACTGACCTGCGCTCTTCACAGACATTTTCAGATTAGGTTACAGGTCAGCCAGTGTAAGATGCACAGCTATGAGACGTTGTTGGGGAGACAGGGCGCCCAGGTCCATGGGACGTCTTAGGGGGCAGCACCCCCAGTCTATGGGACAGTTTAGGGAGACAGTGCCTTATGCCCCTAAGTCTTGAGATGCCCGTGTAAGTAGGTCACCAGTGGACCTCAGTGAGTGTCCATAGACATCAGTCAGCATCGTGATTAACAGTGGATGTTGGTGAACCTCAGTAGATGCCAGTGTCCATGAGTGGCCATGATGGATATCAGCCATCCGTGGACCATTGGTGAAAGACGTGGTGATAGGTTGGACTTCATTAAAGTGAAAAATCAGGGTTTGCCAAAGACACGGTGAAGTGAGTAGGGAGGCAGGCTATTAGAAAGTTGGCACAGCGTGCACCTGACAAAGACTTGTATTCAAAGCACGTTGTAAACTCCTAAAGCAGACTAATAAGAACAGAAGCAGTACAGTTAAACACTGGGCAAGCCAGGTGCACGCCCACACCTGTATCCTCGCTACTCTGGGGGCTGAGGTGGAAGGATCACTTGAGTCCATGATTTTGCAGCCAGCCTGGGCAACAAAGTGAGACCCTAATTTAGAATAAAATAAAATATAAAAACAGGGTGAACGACTCCAACAGACACCTCACCAAGAAGGATATGTATGAGGCACATACCATGTAAGTGATGGCCTGTGTCATGTGTCGCAGGGAATTGCAAATTGCTGACAAGACAGCACAGTAATGAACCCCGTTAGGAGGGCTGACCGTAACCTGACCATGGCGGTGCTGGGAGGTCTCAACTCCCAGGCACTGCCAGCTTGTGCACAGCAGGGGAGCCACAGAGAACCTAACTCAGCAGTCACCCTCCCAGGTGTCCCATTGAGCTAAAGACTTTCATCCACACAGAAGAAACCTGCAGGCGAATATTTATGGCAACGTTATTTATATTGCCCCAAACTGGAAGTGACCACAACACCCTTCAGTAGTGAACGGAGGAAAGAGTGTGGGCCTGGATGGT